TGAAACTGCGACACAGATGGTGAAGTGAGGAATTAGAGCCACACTGTGTAATGATCACTGTCAGATATTTAATTTACCTTCATAATCTGACTTAAATAAAAGTTCCCGTGCGCAACTCCATTCATCTGCTTCCTCCTCAGACGACCCTGACCCATACAGACCCCTCCCTGACCCACAGACCCCTCCCTGACCCACAGACCCCTCCCTGACCCACACAGACCCCTCCCTGACCCACAGACCCCTCCCTGACCCACAGACCTCTCCCTGATAAGAACAGCAGGACAGCAAAAGCTTTGGGTACATGCGCAGGGCGTGTATCCAGTCCGTGTTTGTCACGCGCGCGGGGGGGATGCGTGCGTGTGTGTGTGTGCATGCATGCGCGCGGGGCGGGGGTCTGCCGCGGGTAACAGAGCAGKCAGGAGGGGGAGAGGACGAGGAGAAGAGCGGGGGACTTATTCCTAATTTTATCTGACTTATTTAATTTAATTTTTATTGTTTTTATCGTCCCATAGGCTCTGATGGAAGATTAATTTGAAGCTGAGATTTTTTTATTTTGTATTTTTTATAAAAATGGTTAGATTACTCTAAAGCAAAATGAGGGAAAATCTGTATCAATTACAGACAATCTGTTCACGTGAGCAGCTGTCAGTCAGCACCTGTCATCCTCCAGACTCACGACGGAGYRTGTCTGAACCAATCACTTTTGTTGACATTGATCAGCTGACTGATTTAAATACATCTTAACATTCATGAGGTACTTTACATTGACTGTTTATGGTTAAATGTGGGCGTATAGAGGGTAGAACATGAGGCGGGACCTCGTGCGCAAACTCTGACGTGCGGCTGTGATTTATAAATGAAAGATGCGCAGAAACGTGCGTACGTACGGTTTTATAAATCTGAATTTTTTTGGCGTACGCCATTTCCGCCTTTTGGCCGTACGTTCACTTTTAGTATGGTTTCCACGCAATCCTTTATAAATGAGACCCCTGGTCTGTTCTGATTGGTCAGATACACAATTGTATTTTCTGGTGATGTTGGTAAGTTATAGAACCAACATCCACAAGTACAAACTAACAGGATTAAAAGACTCACTCTTAAAGCTTCAATAACACAATCTACCACCGTGACATCTTCATGTCATCATACTTTCTGTTTATAAAAGCAGAAAATTAATTKATAAGATCTTACATCTGAGGTCTCGTTGCCAAAGAAGTAGATGGCATCCAGGCCTTCGTTTTGCAAAAGATCTAAACACAGTCTCTTGTCCCAGCCCTCGGGGAACACATCAAAACTGATGAGACCACCTGCAACAAAACACACACCAACAACGATCAGGTTTGTTGTTGTTTAACTATTAAATCCCACAACACATAGCATTTATTTAATAATAAAATGAGTATTCATTGAAGGAAATGCATGTTCCTCACCGCATGTTAAAAGTTTTAAACAAAGATCTCATGTGGTCAGTCGGACTTTAAAGTATGTGCTGCGAATGACTTTCAGCTTCTACCACAGCAAATGTTAGCTCCAGTTCCAGTGGTGGGCACAGCTAACTAAAATATTAACTTCAGTAACATCTAAACTGCTACACAAATTTATTAGTTCCACCAACGACAAAAAGCTACACCGCTAATATTTAATATAACATCCAGTCTGCCATGTGGCAACATGAACAATTTTCCATTTAAAAAAATGTACTAAGTCATTGCAAATTACATCCAAGGCAAACAATTAATGAACAAAAATGTACAACAATGCACCCAGTACTATAATACACAAACAGTTCATACAAAAGGAATCATACAATACTAGTTAAACTACTCCTGGTTTTTACAAATGTTCTTAAAATTTTCAGGTATTTTCCACATTAAAAATTTCTCCTCCCTTTTTTTGTTTACCAAAGGAATTAGTTCCACTATTAGCATGTTAACAGATGAGTGGAACTGTGCACTGTCCAAATCTGTAAAGCTGACCGAGTTCTAATAACTGTTGTGATTAGCTGTGGCTGCCATCTTGAATGGGACTGTAAAAAGGAAAACAGTTGATGAACATCTGTTCATTACTTTCTTAATGTTTCAATGAAATCTGTTCAGTGTTTTTTGAGATATTTGGCTAACAGACAAACAAAAGCGTACATACACACTTATACATTAAATTCTAAAACGAGTCTTTACTCAGCTGCAAATCAAATCAGTTAAATGAACATGTAAGCTATTAAAACAGTGTTTTTTCGACATGTTAAATTTATGTTTCTGTTTCCTTCCTGCATTAGTTTCATAGTTGACTCCAGAGAGCAGCCAGTCAGAAGGCTGCTCTCTCACACACCCCTCTTAATGACTCTGTCACCTTCAGCCCTTCAACATAAACAGCTGAGTCACTTCAGGAACCAAAACATCCCACAGCTGTTGTTTTTCAACTTTTGAGTAGAAGGAAAAAAAAAGATTTTTAACAACAATAAAAAAATTTAAATTAAAACTTTGTAAACTTAGTTTACTACAGGCAAATAATTTAACTAGAAAAAAAATTACCAACAGGAAGAAAAAGTATGGAACAAAAACAAGAAACATCTCAAACAATGAAGCCCTGCATCCCTTGAAGGAATGCATTTCACCTGCTACTTTTYATTGGGTCAGAGATTTAGGTTATGATAATCCCTGGATGAGTTATGACACAGTTACAGTAACAAAAACATTTTAAATGCAATCACATGAAATCTAACACTATGTATTATTAGAACTTGGGGTATGTTTTGAGGATGACTCTCAGCTACCACCACACCGATGTTTAGCTGAGTATCTGTTAAATTTGCTGAGTTCTAATCATAGTTGATTAATCTTGAATCAGATTGACTCCAAAGTTACCTGATTGTTGATGTGCATTCAGTGATTATCTGAAAGTTTCACTTAATCCTGTTTATTATTTCATGAGATATTTTGCTAACAGTAGAGACACACAATCACAGGCTGAAGTTATTCATAAAGAAAAACAGGAAACATGTGATCAWTATGATCCATCATAAACACTCTTACATTCTGTCCTCTCAGAACAAACCAATCAGTCCTATCAGAGAGATAAGATCAACTTTGCCGTCTTTAGATAAACTCTTAAAAGACAGGAAAAAACAAAAAAACAAAACTGCAGCTCTGCACAGGTTCTCAACCATCGGCCAGTTTTCACATCTACAGTAATCACTGCAGCAACATGGCAGAATCTGTCAAATCTTTCACAAGGAGACTTTCACTGAAAACAAACCCAGCCTGTTTTTGTTTGTCAACCCTCCCACGTCATCGTCATCATCATCATCATCATCATCATCATCATCATCATCATCATCATCATCATCATCATCATCATCATCATCAGCTCCCAACCCGTGGAGCACGTAGGCAAACACCGAGTGACTCAATCAACCTCCTGCCGTCGTGCTGCCACAGAGCAACGAGGATAAGGAGCAACAGTTCCTGTGTAATCTTTAACAGATCTGGGAGTGGGTCTTTTTTTTTTTTCTTCAACGGCTGACAAGAATCAACAAACAGACACGAAAAGCTGTAAAAACTGGTTTGTCATTAAGCTGCGAGCTGTAAATAGAATACTAAAGAGCGTGTTTTTCATGAGGGTCTGACAGGTTGTTTTTCAGTGACTTCTGATCGAGGAACTGTTCCTGGTCATTCTCACAGAGGTCACAGTTTAAAATATACTACCCCCCACCCAGCTCACACAAATACAGCTACACCGCTGCAGATATTTAAAAAAAAATTAAGATTCATTGCAACTTTTGCACCTCCTGTTCACAAGCAGACTAAGATCAAATGTACTCCGAAAACATTTTGATACATTTTTCTGTTAGAAACTTGTGTTGAAGGAATCAGATACAAACATAAAACTGCAAAAAAACAAAAAAAAAAAACAAAGTGTTACTTAACACAATTTTCAAACAGTCTCCAATACAAAAKGGTTACAACTACAATAAGAGCTCCCTGGCTTTATGTGGCTGTCCACACAGAAATGATTACAAATACACCAAAAGTTTTATTCTAGAGCAGAGGAGTCCAAAGKGGGGCCCAAGCCATTTGATTTGGCCCACCAGCAGTTTACATAGGCTGTAACCTGTCGTCCTATGTAGAAACACAGTATTTCCACTTAGTCATTTCATCTATTGGTGCAATGACTATATACKGGGCTGTAGTGCAGATAGTCTTCACTCAAGGTGCTGACTTTATCTAAGTRGCAAAGGCTTTGCTACTTGAACGTATGAAAACAAAAGCGGGCCACTGCACTGGCCACAAGTTTAATGGTTAAAAAGAAAGGACTTTTACTTAAAAAGTATTTGTATTTCAAGTATTATATTACTGCATTTAGCCCGCAGCCCCGGATAGATTTTCATTTTGGCCCTCTTGGGGACAATKTTTGAGCACCCCTGTTCTAGAGTATAAAAACTCTTGCTTTTCAGTGTGGAAAATGAAACTGATGATGTCACAGCTTCACCTCTAATCTAAACTATGACCTGACATTTCACACTCAGTGCTTTGYTGCACATGCTCCGAGCCTTGTTTCTTGTTTTTGGTGTTTTCTTTGTTTCTGTGTGGATGAACACWTTTTAAGAAATCCATTTGGAAAACTGTGTTTTAGTGTGGATGAGGTCTAGAAATAGTTTAACGTTATGGACCTAAACAAATAAAGGCTGGCACTGACTCWGGTGTTCAAGATTATATTAAAGGAGGATGGGGGAACAAAACTTGTTGCAATCTTTTTAGTCCTTAAGTTTTTATTTAAAAAAACACTTCTCATTTGAGAATTTTGAGAAATTATAAAACAGATTTTTTTTGCTTATGCCTACTGTTGCTTTGTGCCCTAGAATCCATAATACCAAACTGTTTGTTTTGTTGTCTTGTGTTATCCTGATCCTGTCACCATTAAACTGCGATTGTGAGCTACAGTGGTTAATAACTGAGATGAAATCATAAACAATAAAGACAAAAATAAGTTACAATTGTTTAGGAAGACTTTATCCAAACTATGAATGTTTTTCTTTTGTATTTTGATGTAACAATGTTGGCATGGTTGCCACTTTGTGCTGAGGCTTGGGTACGTCAGGGTTTTTGTTTGTGTTTAGCTTCTCACCTTTGGTGAAGCAAAGTCCCTTTCCGGCAAATTCCTCTTTCAAAGCAGCAACAAATTTCTCCCTGATTTTTTCTCTCTGTGAAACAAACAACATTCTGATTAGATTTTAAAACACAATCCTTAAAAAAGGTTTGTATCAAACCGTGCTGTGCGACTTTCTCTTTAATCAGTTACACAAGTTTTCATTTCACCAGCTACAACATAAACACTGTCTTTTCAGAAAGCTTGGATGTGGTGTAAATTTTTAAATTGTTGAACTGTTTCCTCTGTTGTTGCATGGAAAACATTTAGGAACTTGAAAAAAAAAATAAACCACAACTTATGAAAGTGAAACATGTTTTCTGTTCATGGTGGATTTATGATGAACAGCTTGTTTTATTTTTTTGTGTACAGAAAATAATGAAGAAGGTTGCTTTAAACATCCAAAACTATGATTTATTAGATGGCCTGGAAGTTTTTTCCACATTACATGAGTTCACCTCACATAGTCTGAATGTTCTTGTTGTTTGTTTTTAAAAAGGTACAGGTTTAACTTGCTTTTACAGACGAAGCGATGAGCTCAGCTCACTGATTTCAGCTCTGGCTCTCTGAGTGATTCTTTCTCAACTGTATTACTGGTCTGTTGCTAATGATCCTAATTTAGTCAGCAGACATTTCTTCAAAGGTTTTTCCTCTTGATTTATGTTCTTTTTTAGTGAACAATACAAAAAACTAATATAGGCCTATGTTCTAAAAATAAGTGAAAATGTTCCCTATTGATGCCATCTCAAAAGAAGCTCCAGTCTCAAGAATATCTTTAAAGTGTTTAAAATACTATTTTAATGAACTCAAGATTCATTTAGTAGATTTAACAAGACACTTATTAAACCTTTATTTACGTTTGAAGCAGTGGGCCAACTTTTATGGCAGCGGGGCTTCAAATCRCTCCGCAAACAAATGATACCTGAATGATTGTGTTTCTCCTCTGCTTTTATAAACTTCCTTTGTATCTCTTGGCTCTGTTATGCATCAGTGTAGATGACCTGTTTGGACAGCTCAGTATTGATTTGCCCTTCCTTTTGTCCACGTTTTGAAACAGTAAAACAAAGGYGGTTTCAGCTGCTCGTACCAAACAATACCAGCGTTGCTAAACCAGATAAGATCAGGCTTTGTTCAGCTTATTTGCTATTCGATTGCACCATTAAAAATATTGCTCACATTTTTTTAAACTAAAGTAATGAAGAAAAAGAAAAAGAAGAGAAATGTAAGACCTGTACAGAGAGAAACTGATAGAAATTCAATGACATGTGAAATGTACACCAATAACA